TATATATTATACATATTTTCTGCGAATAAGCAGAATAAAATAAAATATTATTATCTAATACTATTATTATTACTCGTAAATCGTTTCCCAAATTTTATATAGGTATAGATAGTTGTAGTTATAGGTACACGTTATTCTAATATCTATTGAAATTTCAAATATAAAAATAATGCAAAACACTCACATTCATATCGTAAAGTATTTAGTTATTCCCACAATTATTATTTTTATATACATAATATCAATAAGTTATAAAAATCAAAATATAATTTTAAATATATGAAATTTATWTTAGGACAAATTAATAAATTAACTCGTTAAGTTAGAAGTTGTTTAAAAAAAAAAGAAACTYGTTAAGYTGGAASTTMCTTTTGAAAATAAAWGTAACTCGTTAAATAACTTAGTTAAAAGTAACTTAACTTTAACTTTTTAACTCGTTAATGCCCAGCCTTGAGCATACCTATATAGTTTTTTTGCATGACTTTTATTATCTAAGGTGGGACATGAACTCTTTGCTCCTCAATAGGGGTTCCTTGATAACATAGACCAGTTTTTTATATTTCGTATTTCTTCTTAACACTAGATTAAAGTGTAATAATGAATAATCACATTTAAGAATCTATTCTACTTGAAGCATTTATTTAAGTTATTATACGATTATAATTAGTATTTCTTTGTGCTTAGAGAAACAATTGAGAAATTCAGAATTTATTACCTCCTCTGCAAAATACCAATAAACTGAAGTTTATACATAGCTAATAAATAAGGATTCGCAAACATTTTAGATCTTGGCCATTAGGTGATAAGAAACAAAAATGACCAATAACGAAAAAATGAYGATTGAAACAAAAATAAAAAATCAATGTATGCTTTCCTAAACACCTTAATATTCACAAAAAATTAAGTGCAAGAAATCTACAATAAAATATAATGAAAACAAAACATGAATATGTTAACACAACACACAASTCATTGATATATTGAATGTAAAATGGAAACTACTTACAAAAGAAATTTTCATACAATATAATAGATAAAATAAAAAATATTCAATCTTAAAAAGCGTTAATATTGGTACTTAATATTCTAATCTAAAAATAATTACTAAATTAAGTAAGAAAAAACAGCTTCTAGTAATAAAATGTGACTTAACGAAACAACTCTAATTGAAAATAGCATGGCAAACAAGCAATATAATAGTAGTATACAATATACAAAATGTTACTGAGTTATAGGTAATTAAAATGTAATTCATCCAATATAAGAGTAAACAGCAATTAAAAATATAGTTATTTTCTTATTTATCCATTATTTATATAATAGATTATATCTATTATTTTAAGCGTTTTAAGTTCTTTWTAACGAAGAAAATAAATTAATATATAATTATTTTATACAACATTTTCAATTTGTATTAATTTTTCTATGATTACTTTTATGGGCATGTACTAACTTTTTAACGATATAAGCCATGATATTGATTAGAAAAATTAAATATATTTGATACTTAACACGTTAAATAGATCTAATTTCATTAAATATTTTTCTCTAACTTGCAAGCTTTTGTTGAATGTAAATATCGTTAAGCGTTATTATTTTTTTTTTTAAATTAATTATAATAAGACATTCCTAGCCTATAAGGCTATATCTACATCTGTTAAGCGCTATTAAATTCGATATTAT